GGCTACAATCAGAGCAGGCACACATCAAATCTTCCTTAGCAGATTACCCCATCTTCCAGTGATTTGTGCTCAGGTCCTTCGTGAGCCAGAGGTGATGTCTCTGTCCTGGAAGATGAGATGTTTTGCACGTCTTGAACATGAGAAACGTGCACACGCTGACTGCGGTTGCTGTGTGCAGTAAATGTCACAGAGCAAAGAGCCTCAGAGTGCTGCTAAATGTATGTGAGATCTGTTGATGCAAAACACAGCCAGCACCTGATGTAGCACCTTGTAATGGTTGGGGAGCCCTAGCAGAACAGGATACAGCATAGAAATGTGAGAACAGCCACTTTGGACAGGCTTTGTGCAGTTGAAAGCTACAGGATGGCTAAGAAACCTAATGCATTGAAACAGCTTGTCTCTCACAAACACATTCTCCGATATCACTCATCCTTGGCATCATCCTTTAAAATTGCTTGAAAATTGCTGGATGTGATAAATGTCTTGAGTTCTGCTGTTTCAACCAATGCTTCTATCGCTAAAATTGCTCATCACAAATATTAGCAGAAAATGAACCCTGAAACGGTGCATGTTTTTTTCAGCTGTGTAATTATTTTTTTTTTTTGAATGAATATCCGAGTTGCAGGTTAGCCTGCTCCAGTCCTGTACCAGTGTGGGACAACAACAAAGTGCTCACAGGTAACCAGCTGCCTCTTTAGATAGAGCAGTACAGTTATGAACGCTGCATTCAAGCGATGTGGGGATACAGCCATCACAGCCCAGCCATCACAGAAGACAACAGAACTGGGAATCTTCTGGGATGAGCCAAGTATCAAACTGGCAAACTCTAAAGGCCTGGCTACAGGATGAAAATGTGCATTCAGTTGCAGAGGGGCAATGTCACAGGGAGGAATTTCATAAGTTGTCTGCTGAGCGTTGCTTTCTGATCTTCGCTTTAGGGAGGAAACCCTTAAGCAGGCCTGGAGAGCTGAGCAAGTGACGCCCAGGACTGGGGCTGGATGCAAGTGGCCAGGGCCACGTCCCTGGACAGGGCAGAGAGCCAGGAGAAGGTGAGGGAGGAGAGCAAATGGATGTCCTCCTCTCCTCCTTCCTGATACGGGGCTGAGACACAGAGCGTTACTGCTGGCGAGGATCCAGGCTCCTGAGACAGGCCAGACCTTCAGGAGAGGCGTTCAGCGCATGGTTTTTCTCTACAAGCATGAATTCACTTCTTATGGCTGCACTTTGCCAGCTGAGGCTTTGGGCTTGGCAGCCGACAGTCATTTAAGGGCGAAAGTCTCTTCAGCTCAGTCTCAGCCCTGTGGCTTAGGCCATACGCCAAAAGCCAAGAAAAAAAAAAAGCATGCCCCATACAGGAACTTAAAAAGTCACAGGCATCTCCTTCCTGAGCCTCACCCACGGGTGCTAAGTGCGGGAAGGAGAGGTGGAGCAGAGCGGGAAGGGAGGAGGCAAAGGAAGGAGGTGAGAGAAAGAAACATTGGGAGCCATGTTTCTACAGAATAACTCTTCTACCACTTCCTTCCTGCCCTGCACCATCGCCAGCTGCTTGCTGGCAAGACAGGTACCTCCGGGGGAAGCTTCAAGAGGCAAACAGCAGGCGTAGGCTGTGCAGAAAGGAGAATGTTCAGACAAACACAGGGTCAAGAGAAGCATGAAAAGCCCAGGGGGAGGGGAGGAGAGCGCACCTTCAACCACTCTCGAAGGTTTTTTTGCTAAGGCACAGCGGCTAAGGCAGCCGCTGAATAACTGAGATGGCGTGCGACTGCGCTGTGTCCCTGTCGCGGCCGCTGCCATCTCCCCCATTACGTGTTGTAGTCACCTGTTATGCTTCGCCTTGGAAGGGGAGGTCTCCCAAGACTGCTCTGTGGTGTGCAGGTGTACAGCAGCTCTCACATAGGTCAGACGTGATTGAGTCAAGGACAAGCTCTTGTATGCCACGTCCCAGGTGAGGTCTGGGCAGAGAACCGCTGCTGACCCCGAAACCAAGCACTGTTTTTATCCCCCCTACACAACAGTTCTGTAGGCCCCACCTCATTGACCAAGGGCAGCGGGTGCCCAGAGGCAGCAAAAAACTCAAGTCGCTACCAGCCCCCACCGCAACCATTGTTTTTCTAAGTTAACACCAGCTATCAGTACACTTTCACTGGGAGGAAAGAAGGGAGGTAACTTTACACCCTCCCACACAGAAACCTCGCGGCAGCCCTGCTGAGTACCATGCCATCTTCCCCCCAGCGAGTGACGTGCAGAAAACGGACTCCCCAGTCTGTAAGATTGTAAAGTAGGTATGTTTATTCAGCGCTGGGCAGCACGGGGGGTAGTCCCACCAAAGTCGTGCGCACCTCCACGTGGCAGCTTGCCCTGTTTATATGTAGCAAAGTGTTACATATACATGAAGTTTCCCAATATGCCTATACATATGCATAACCTGTCCCTGCTTCGTATTAAAATTAGTTTCAAGAGGTCATTTCCATAAGTCCCTCCTGACTGCGCTTGCTCAGTGCCTCCTTGTGGTGGTCGTCCGGGGTCGTGGGGATGAAGGCTGATGGCTCCTCTTCGTCACCACCAATAACCCCTTGTTCTTGCGCACACTCAGTTGCTCCTCTGCTCTTGCCCAAACTGCAGGGTCGGTTTAAGCTGGTTCTTCAGGCAAATTCCTGGCTCTTATCAGGAACTGTCCTTCGTAAGGAGCTGCAAATCTTCTTGCATCAGCTAGTTCGTGCAATAGTTAGCAAAACATTTGAGCACTATCTATCAATTTGATTCTTTGGGCTACACAGCAATCTCGATAATTATTACGCAGCATCTTATCTACTAAGATTCCCTTAACCCCTTCTCTCATGAGGATCCTCTTCTCCAGTCATTCTTAAGATGGGACATTTGAAACTACAGGAAACTCCAGATCCCCCTTGAGAGGGCCGGAACATACCCACCGGTACGATTCTCACACCTGGAGGGATGTGTCCCTCTGGCAAGACACTTTGGCCGAACTGCCGTGGCGACCGCTGCCTCTTAACCCCTCTTCAACGTGTCGGCATGCGTGCGGAGCGCGGTTTGCTGCAGGGGGAAGTGGAAGGGAGTCGCAGAGTGCGGCCGCACCCTCCGGTGTACTTCTCACGCACACACACACACACACACACACACACACACGGCACCTTCTCAGTTCCTCTGTCTATGGAGGCCCCTTCCAAACGTCCTCACCCCGGGGAAGCGCTTGTGCTGCTGCTGGGCATGGGGAGGGTGGGTACTGCTGCCTCTGCCCTGCCTGCTCGCTGGCCAGGAGCTGCTGTCACTGAGCGGGCTCTGGCTGCATTGGGGTATTTGCTGGAAAGGAACATCTCTTGGCATGGGCTGGGAGAAGCTCTCTTGGTGTTTATGGCTGTGGCTAGCACCATGCTGCTGTGAGGGTCTCGCAGGCTAAGGCAATGTGTTGTCACTTTTCTCATACCATTCTCATCACCTGGTAACTACACTAAGTCAGGGGACCTGATTGCCCCTCAAGCTCTAGGGATCTTGGGTGGCAGATGCTCTGTTAGGCATTTGCGGTGGAGCTGCTTATGCCACTCCAGGGTCTGCTCTTGCCCACACGGAGGGTAAGGAAGGTCCCCACCAGCTTGTTCACCTTTCCAGAGATGCAGGAGACAATACCACTGCACTGGGAGTGGTAGGCAGACTGCTTCCCCCTGGCCTGCTTGAGATGGGCCCAAACAAGCAACAAATAAATGTTCTGAGGCTGCTAAAAGCTACTTTCTCCCCTGCCTGAACTCAGGGTTAAAGAAATTGCTCATACACAGGTGGACCAAGAAAGCTCATGCCCCTCCTCAGTCTGAAGGGACTCAAATCTCTGTCAACGCATCTCCTCCTTCTGGACTTAGCTGACTGTTCCCTGGAGCAAGCGTCTACCCCATAAGAGAATGCCCAAAAGACTGGGCCAGACAAGACCTTTTTTTATCAAGGATGTTATCCAGTGGATGCCTTCAGCTCATAAATAGAGCAAGTACAATTTTTAAGGGCACACAACACCACTAGAGCACACCCACCTCCATATTCCTCTCTTCACTTGGAGACTTCTGCATGGAAATCATCAAGTGACTTTGCATGAAATGCTTCTCCTAGTACTACTTAACCAAATGCCAAGTCTGCTCTTGTGTATGGTTATCCTGGAAAGGTGGAGTTTTTTGTAACCCACCTGTTCAAATTTTTTTCACCTCCATTTCTTAAATGTGTTTATATTCTTGTCTTCGAACTTGTTCGCTTCCTCTGAATGCCCTTATTTCCTGTTGTTTCCCAGAGGCATCAACCAGCTGTGGTAGGCAGTTCCACTGGTGGGTGTTATATAGAGGTACAAGTTTATGTTCTTCAGCTGCAGTTATTTATTAAGAGGAGGGAGGAGAGAAGCTTGAATTAGCTAGATCTCAACCGATATGTTGTAATACGGTGTGGAGGCACACACCAGTGCCCAGATTCCGGCTCCTGTGTGCTGGGTAGTCTCTGACACAACAGCTACCACTACCCAGTTCAGACAGTTCCCCCATCTGACTGATAAATTATAGCTTCTTTTGCAAGTCTGCCTCTATGGTTTGCAGGGGGTTTTTTTTGTTACTCAGTTTGAAAAAAAAAAAATAAAAATTGAAGACTAATTCCCTTAATTTCCTCTGGGAAGTGACTTTGGTAATTGATCAGCAGCTCCGTCTTATTTATAAGGCCACCTGGTTTAGGGACAGTCCTCAGTACCCTGTTCTAGTGAGTAGGCATGATGTGGTCAAGAAATTCCTTGTGAAGAAATGCACTTTTTCCTGGAAGTACATCAGACCTGACTCCCAGGAGACACTACAGGAGACCAGCAGGTCTTGGAAAACTTTCCTGACTTAGATGCTTCCCCAAGACAAGCATCCCACTTGTTCCCTGACATGTCCTGTTGGCACCTATGGGACCATTACCATTACTGACACATTTTTAAGTGATGCAAATGCTAATTTTCCACCTTGTCTTCTGATTGTCAGGAAACACCAGCTGGAGAAAGAACAATGGAAAATTGTACACAGACAAGTGACAACTGCACAGGAATTCCCTCCTCAGTCAGCAAGATACCTCTGGTTGCTGTTTACAGCATCGTTTTTGCCATAGGCCTTCCAGCAAATTGCTTAACTTCCCTGCTTACATTTCAACAAATCCGAAAGAATAAAGTAATTGCCGTCTACCTTTTCAGTTTATCGTTGTGTGAGCTGATGTATTTAAGTACTTTGCCTCTCTGGATTATCTATGTGAACAATAAGCATCGGTGGACAATGGGCGAAAACACTTGCAAAGTAACAGGATTCATCTTTTTCTGCAACATATACATCAGCATTCTGCTTTTGTGCTGCATTTCTGTGGATCGTTATGTAGCAGTGGTGTATGCTCTGGAGTCAAGGGGGAAAAGAGGACAGAAAAAGGCATTCGCAATAGTGAGTTGTGTCTTCGCTGTGGTTGCAATAATCTACAGTCCTACATTTTACATGGAAGACAACAATACCGATAAGATCTGCTTTGAGACTTTGCCCCTCAACATAAAATTGGCTTCTTTAAACTTTGCCAGATTCCTGTTTGGATTTGCCATACCTTTCACAATCCTGATTTTCACAAACTACAAAATTTTCCAAAGTACAAAAACAAGCAGCAGCTTGACAAGTCGCCAGAAAGCCAAAGTGAAGTATCTGGCTATCGCCATTATTGTCATTTTCCTGATCTGCTTTGCTCCCTACCATGTGGTGCTCTTAATAAGATCCACATACTTTTTGCTTCATCAGAATTCCTCATGTCCATTTGAAAGAGAGATATATACAACTTTTACAGTGTTTCTGTGTTTAGTCACTGCAAACAGCATTGCCGATCCAATCATCTACGTGCTGGTTAGTGAAAACATCAGAAAAGATTTTTGTAGGACTCTGAGAAGATGGAGATTGAACTCATCCATTAACCAGAAGACAGACAGCATAAAATTGAAAATGTCAAAAGAATCACAGGAAGGAGGGCTAAGAGAAGAAAACAAAGAAACGCCGCATTCGTCTGACATTGAAAAGACCTGTAGTAGTGGCAAAGACCAAGAAGGAGGCAGCTAGCAGTTAGCTGCTGGCACAAATAAGGAGCTCCCGACACCAGCTGCGGGCCGCAGACTGCAGCACACAAGTATTTACATGCTGACATCCGTAGGAAGTTTTGCCACAGTGCATGGGCCAGCAGCTCCTTGAGGACGCTACCGGAGCGACACTTCTTATTTCTGTTTGTCTCCTACGATAAAGCTTGCCCACCACTATTGCTGGTGAAAATATTGCTTTGCTAAGGACGTGTGGAATAAATTAAGTAATTTACTTTGACTCAGCTTGAAATCTTAAAAGCTTATTTTTTGGACTGGCTCTTTTCCTCCTATGAATTCAGAACCAGTTTTATCTTCTGAGATGGACAGAAAAAAAAAAACCTGCTGGCAAGAACAATGTAGGGCCCATTCTTATGGTCAAAATTTTTAGTTCTTGAGGAGGTACATGTTCAGATTCTCATACACGTACTCTGTTGTTAATGTTTGTTGTTAACCAGTGGAAAATATTAAAAATGAGGAAGTCTTTCAACAAGAGCCTTGAAAATGTTCGTAATACTTCAGTATGAAGCTTTATCTGCCTTGCACATCCTGGGGAGAATAAAAGGGCAAAACAGTGGCCTGGTAACACAGACCAACATTGACTGTATTAGTCAAGACCCTGCACTGTCTTGAAATTCTTAAAATGTACAATTCTAATGCTTGGCATTTTACAATTAGTGGATTTTACTTACTTTGCAGTTAAATCTGGAATGCACTGAAATACAGAGAAAATTTATACATTTCCAAGTGCTGTCATGGACTGTTTTTATGCCATCTCCAAACATTTGTTGAACTTATGTTTCATTTCTGACTAAGCTAACACTTCCCTTTTGGTATTGATCCAACTTTTAGTGTGTAGGAGCTTATACAAGTGTTAAGTACCTTACTGACAAGGAAGGGATGGCAGCACAGAGAACACAGTCCCTTCTCCCCATAGATGGGAACTCCCTGGGATGTGCTGGTGGTGCATACATGAGACTATGCTGGGGCAGATTTCGTTATTGCTGCTGCCACTTTCGCTATGAATAAATTATTGATGGTAGTTTCCTGTGCCTTCAAACCAGAAATTAAAAAATAAGAGTGATACAAATTTGGCAACATTTATTTACACAGCTTCTTCATATTTGTATGTGATCAAAGTAAAATGGACAAAGATCATTAATTCGTTGGCTGCTTAATTGAATATAAGTTTGTAAAGTCTTTCTTTAAGCGTCATTCTGCTTTATCTGTAATGTTGTACTTCAGTAATATTGTTAAATTGTTGTTAATGTTGACATTTCTGAATTGAACTTACATTATAAAATCATTTGGTAGGAAAAGACCTTTTAAGATCATTGAGGCCAACGGTACCTGTCCTTTATTAAACCATGTGTCCAAGCACCTTGTCTGCCCATCTTTTAAATACCTCCAGGGATGGGGACTCAACCACTTCCCTGGGAAGCCTGTTCCAATACTTGACAACCATTTTGGTGAAGAAATTTTCCCTGATATCCAGTCAAAACCTGCCCTGGTGCAACTTAAGGCTGCTTCCCCTCATCCTATCACTTGTCACTCGGCAGAAGAGACCAACACCCACCTCAGTACAACCTCCTTGTAGGCAGTTGTAAACGGTGATAAAGTCTCTTCTCAGCCTCCTCTTCTCCAGGCTGAACACCGCCAGCTCCCTCAGCCGCTCCTCATCAGCCTTGGGCTCCAGACCCCTCACCACCTTCCTTGCCCTTCTCTGGACACGCTCCAGCCCCTCCATGTCCTTCTGGGAGTGAGGGGCCCAAAATTGAACGCAGTATTCAAGGTGAGGCCTCACCAGTGCTGAGTACAGGGGAAGGATAATTTCCCTGGTCCTGCTGGCCACACTAATTCTCATACAAGCCAGGATGCCATTGACCCTCTGGGCTCCTGTGTATGCTGCTGGCTCATATCCAGTCAGCTGTTGACCAGCACCCCCAGATCCCTCTCTGCCAAGCAGCTATCCAGCCACTCACCCCCAAGCCTGTAGTGTCGCATGGGATTGTTGTGATGCAAGTGCAGTTCCCTGGATCCTCCCTCTGGCCCTTCTTGTAAATGGGCATCACATTTGCCAATCTCCAGTCAAGTGGAACTTCCCCAGTCATCCAGGACTGCTGACTGATGATGGAAAAGGGCTTGGTGAGCACCTCTGCCAGCTCCCTCAGTACCCTTGGGTGGACCTCGTCTGGCCCCATAGACTTGTCTATGTCTAATTGGCCAAGCAGGTGACTAACCATTTCCTCTTGGATCATGGCAGCTCCCTGTCCCTGTCTTCTGGCAACGACTGAGGCAAAAAAGGCATTAAGTACCTCAGTCTTACCCTCATCCTTTGTCACGATGGTTCCCCCTGCATCCAGTAAAGGATGGAGATTCTCCTTGGCTTTCCTTTTGTTGTTAATTTATAGAAACATTATTTTATTATCTTTCACAGAATTGGCCAATTTATGTTCTAGTTGGGCCTTTCTAATTTTCTCTCTGCATGACCTTGCATCATCCTTGTAGTCCTCCCGAGATGCCTGCCCCTTCTTCCAAATGTCATAGACTTTCCTCTTTTTTCGAGATCCAGCCAAAGCTCTCTGTTCAGCCAGGCCAGTCTTCTTCCCTGTTGGCTCATCTTTTGGCACATGGGGATGGTCTGCTCTTGTGCCTCCAGGATTTCCTTCTTGAAGAGTGCCCAGCCTTCTTGGGCTCCTTTGCCCTTCAGGGCTGCCTCCCAAGGGACTTTATCAACTTGCCTTCTAAACAGTCCAAAGTCTTCCCTCCGGAAGTCCAAGGTGGTAATTCTGCTGACCCCTCTCCTTATTTCTCCAAGAATCGAGAATTCTATCATTTCATGATGGCTGTGCCCCAGGCGTCCTCCAACCATCACATCACCCACAGGGCCTTCTCTGTTTGCAAACAACAGGTCCAGCAGGGTGCCTTCCCTAGTTGGTTCACTCACCGGTTGTGTCAGGAACTTCCACACTTCCACACACTCCAAGGACCTCCTAGACCATCTCCTTTCTGCTGTACTGTATTTCCAGCAGATATCTGAAGTTCCCCACAAGAACAAAGGCTAGCAATCGTAAGATTTCTCCCAGTTGCTTGTAGAATATTTCATCTCTCTCTTCTTCCTGGCTGGGCGGACTATAACAGACTCCCACCATGACATCTGCCTTTTTGGCCTTTCCCCTCATTTTTACCCATAGACACTCAACCCTGTCATCATCATCACTGAGCTCAAAATTAACCAATGTTAATGTAAATACTGTACTTGTTAATGGTTTAAAATTGTCACAGGTATTTCTGTATACGATGCTTTATTTTTACACACTTTTGCAAAGAAGCATAGTGCCAAAATGGCATTTCCTCAAGTTATTGTATTTATGACATATTTAACTTTTGTATTATTTAATGGCTCCTCTGGCATCTACCTATGAAAGGCCTGTGCCCTCAAAAGTAGTTCACATAATGCTAATTTGAATAGGAGATTGTTTCTTGGAAAAATGTGAAATTCTGTTGTGATGCTAATTAATAAACTGTGGTTTTGTATTTTCATATGCATCCCAGAGATCAAACTCTCTAAGGTATCAAAGAAAGATCTGCAAAGCGCTGAAAATCAAACTTTCCATTACAAAAAAAATCAGCAGCAGGCGTTGCTCGTAACAGCCCAGTCAGCCAGGACATTGGTGATTAATCTCTGAAGAGGCGTATGCAAAATGCCCTGACCTCAGGGTTTTCAGTCTAAATGTAAAACTCTGATGAATAATAGCAGTGAATTTAGAAGAAACCAAAGATACAGACTTCTGAACTGATTGGAACGGATGCAAATCAGATAATTCACCTTGATGAATCCTGAAATGTCTCTGATGTTTTTCCTCTATAAAACATAAGCGTCTTTAGAGCAACCAATATTGGAGCCCAGTGCCGTAGGTGCAGGGGACAGGGATTAGCAGGGTCTGATGCAATACCTGCAATTCTTTTGCCTTCCCTAATTTACATGCTGTTCTAAATTACTACATCATTATGCATCTTCTTTTAATGAAAATCCTTGGAGCTTCTTTGAAGCACTCTGAAATAAAAGCCTTAGGGGTGACAAGGCCCTGTACATCCTGATCCAACTTTGAAGATGACCTAGATGATCTCCAGAGGGGCTTTCCAAACTAAAATATTCTGTGACAAGGATTAGGGGCCAGGTACCACAATGTATCTACACGGGAAAACTGCAAATCCTGACTACTTTGGATAAATGGAAAAGTAGCTTTATGTGTGAGTGAGGACATCAAGAAATGCTGTTTCCACCTTGTTAAACTGTCCCATCAGATAAGCCGACCGTTTCTCATGTGATAAATCAAAGCATGCAAACTGTTTTGTCAGGCAGCATCTGTGACTGTGCCAGACAGGCAAAGGACAGGTCTCAGCACTGGGACACTTGCTAGAGACACAGCAAAGGACACTACTCGAGTCGGAGCAGATCTGAAGGATGGATTGATTGTGTGGATCATTCCACCCCGACCTCCTGCAGGGACAGTAGCAGTGAGCCTGCAGGGACTGCGTCATGCGTGGAGAACGGTTCACCTACTACATCAGATCTGCTGTCCTCAGCCCAGCTATTTGGATCTGTCCCCCAACTTCCTCAGCTCATCTTAAGCTATGAGATGACTTGGAGAGAGTACAGAACCAAACCTAGGCCGTGCTTCCCAATTTGATCTTTAGACGGCCAGGCCTCCACAGGTAAGGCTCAGAGTGGGTAGGTCACTCACCAATGTAACGGGGGTGAGACTCAAAATTTCACTCTCTTTTGCCTTCAGCATTTACTCAGGTATAAATTCCATAATTTGATTTAACAAAGAGGGGCTACTGAATAAATAAAACATGATTTTATTTTTACATGTGTCTCAGACATTCATAATGTACCTGGGAGATAAGTGGATTGTTGATTACTTGAAGTATGACTGTGAAGCATGAAGTGAATAATTTCTGGGTATGAACTAGAGCTTGCCAAACTAGTTTTCGCAGACAACATATCTGAATTGTTTGTTTATTCATCAATTTTAAGTTATTTCTAAAGACTGCTTTTTTTTAAGTAATTGTTTGGGGTAACTCACTTATAAAACTCTCTATCTGTTTAAGAAATGTTTTCATGTTCAGTATTAAATTTTGCTTCAAGAGGATAGGTATACAAAACAGGCAAAACCAAGTATGAATGAACTCAGACTCTCTACATGTGACAAAGTTTCATCTGCAGTTGGTGACCCTGTAGCTGGTCTGATTTAGTCCCTGCTCTCACGTACAACCCAACGTCAAATTTCTGTTGGGTAGTGAGTGATGAAACCTAACGCAGAACCAGGCTTTCACAACCATACACAGTCTAATAGCTTTTCTTCGTGAGCTACTGTCATCCCACAGATCATGCTGTGCCATAGGTCTTTTAGGAAATATCCTCTACACAGTGAAATGATGGCAAAGTCACCTCACGGGTTGGAATATGTGTCTTATTTTCAAATTAGCACAAAGCAAAGGTAGCAAATAAGGGTGGCGGGATTGCATCAGAGATGCAATCTTTTTTTTAACCTCTTTGGTGTGCAGGGAAGCATACAGGTGGCAGCACCCCCAAAGCTGGATCTCCCAGCATGTCTTCTGCAATTGGTGTTGGTGGACGTGATACCTACCAGTCCTCTCCATCTCTTCTAGCGCCTCCTGGAGTGGTTTGCATCCCTCTGCACTCCCTCTTTCCCCTGCACAATTAACCTTTGCATAGGAGAGGGGTTTCTCATACTCCGTTTGCACCAGGGATGCAGCATGGCCTCATGATGCACTCTTCAAGTGAAAAGAATGTGAACCATTAAGAGAAATCTGTCATCCAAATTAGACTAATACATGTTAGTCGCTGCCATCGTGAGCTATTGGTAAGAAAGAGTAGAACTCTAAAGGCATCTCTCTCATCACTGTAATTCAGATCGCTGGTAACTTCTAGGGTTTTACTCTCTTACTCCATCCTGTAAGAAATGCTCACAGATAACGAAGCAACAACCAGCCTTGCAGACAGATGGGAAGTCTACTGAGAAGTGATGATAAGCTATGTGGTAAGAATTTCACAAAACATCACATGAATACCATCTACATGAGCAACCTCAAAAAAAGCCTTCTCAATACGCCATGAAACGATCCCTCCTGGTTGGCAGCCTCAGGCTGTGACAGGGCCCATACATTTCAGCCCATGATCACAGAGCATCCCCTGAAAGTTCAAAGGTCTGTCTTGAAATGCTTTCTCGAGGGAGGTGAAGAATCAAAGAGATGAGAGGTACTGTGGGAAAAGGGTGTCGTACAATATACAAAGTCCTGAGAAGCCTTGTAAAGCTAAAGTCGCAGATGTTCTGCACAAGTATGCAAATACCCAAGTGTTCAGAAAGCTACTCAGAAATGCATCAGCCTGTATCACAGTTCCCCATC